CTGCTAAATATATCGGAAAATAAGCATTGTACGACAAAAATGTCCCAAATAAACCCTCAATAGTTTCGAGGGCGCAATTCAATCCCACAAAAATTATCCACCTCCCGCCCCCCCTGGGGATGGGGCGGGGGGTAACTTTGAAATCTTAAATGGGAATCCCTACTTTTTATTACAGATTCGGATTCTACATCCAAAAACACGTAACTTTTGTCTGAACTTTTTTTTTCTATTTCTGATAGATGGCGCTGCATTCGACGAAAATTGGGTAATTTCGAATTATCGTAAATATTACTTGGTTAAGAATTTAACACTAAATTTTGAAAGATCGTGAGTGGACCATTTGGAAATGACCACGTCGAAATGACGACTAAAACCTCTTGAATCTTTAACATCATCATTTGTATAACATTTGTAAAGGTCAAGGCCATTGGAGATTGTAACTTTTATTTTAATTTTTTAGTTAAAACGGATAAAAAATTATCGTAGATATTTACGATAATTCGAAAAAACATGTTTCCGACAAAAGTTACTTTTCTTCGACGTAGCGTCATTATAGAGGATTCCCTTTGAAGAAAACGAAGGTTACCCAATTTTCGCCGAATGCAGCGCCATCTATCAGAAATAGAAAAAAAAAGTTCAGACAAAAGTTACGTGTTTTTGGATGTAGAATCCGAATCTGTAATAAAAAGTAGGGATTCCCATTTAAGATTTCAAAGTTACCCCCCGCCCCATCCCCAGGGGGGGCGGGAGGTGGATAATTTTTGTGGGATTGAATTGCGCCCTCGAAACTATTGAGGGTTTATTTGGGACATTTTTGTCGTACAATGCTTATTTTCCGATATATTTAGCAGTCTCAAGTTAAAAAAAAACATCCTGTATATATATATATATATATATATATATATATATGTATTTTATGTTTTATAAATATACTTTTCGATTTATCGCGGTGTGTTGATTTTACAGAAACCGTTCAAGAACGTGACGCAAAGTGTCGTTTGACGACACGAGTAGAGAGCATTAAATTGAACGAGAAAATCCTTTAGTGTTCTGCAGTCTTTGTGTTCAAATATGATAAATAAATCTAAGATATCGTCCTTAAAATTTGTATTTTATATATCTACGTGTGAAATATTTCATGTAGGAACATTGCCTTTGGAATAGTTCGTATAGAGAAGCACGTAAATTACTTGGCCTAAGTACCTGATATCACTCATTTTGTAGAAAATAGAAATTTTTGACAACAATAACAATATTTTTTATTAACATTTTTAGGAGCGTTATTTTATAAATAAAATATTTTATAGGAGCATTAACTTTTATACAGTTATATTCGTGCGGGTTAGTACATGAACTTGGCGTCTTCTTTATCTTTTTTTAAGAAAAGATAATTTATAATATATCTTCGCATTATTGATCTCACGTTCGTTCTTCGCTTCGCGCGTTCAGTTGACGGGAGACACTACCGCGTCTCTTGAAAACAGATCTGAGGTTTGTTTATATACGGATAAGTAAAGAAAAATGTGTTGTCATACACATTTATCGAACTATGCTGGTAGCGAGCGTAAGTTAACTCAGGATTTTTCTTCCCGTAAACTCGCCGTATTTACGAAGTTCGTATGATACAAGTCCTGACTTCTGGTTAGTGAAGTCCGGCAGATGAGTGTGTATATCCTATCCTACGAGAACTTACCCGTAACCACGAGCCTGGCGTACGAGGAACTTTCCACGGTGTCGCCGGTGACATGGTGCACGGTGCGGCAACGGTAGGTCGAGTGGGCATCGGCGGAAGTCACAGAGAAGACGAGCAGCTCTCCGGTGGGCAGCATGTGGTACTTCCCGCCTGCGGACAGAAACAGTAACGATGTCAGCGATATTGCTCGATGAAAGGCACGACGTAACGTCCGCGTTAAACTGCGACAGCATGTGCGAGGTTGTGGATTTTTCCTCGGGAATATTTGCCCGTAAAGTTCAACTACGAATGAAGTGAGATCTCACGAGTGATATTTAATATAATTCAATCCTCTGAAAGAGAACGGGCGATACCGTACGATCGCTTTTTTCATAAACTATTAATAGAATTAGATTGAAAACTTTTGTACGTGAGATTTTAGTCGCTAAACATGAAGACAGTGCTCCAAAACTCAAAATTATGGATTGACTATTACAAATTTTTTGTATTTTTAAGCCAATGTGCACAAAAACGAAGGCATACAGGCATTAGGGTCATTGATCTGAGATTAGAGTTACAGAATTCAAAGTGGCAGATCCAACATGGCAACTGAAATTGGTGGTTTTTATATATGTGGCAGTTTTATAATTCTGATCTTGTGATTAGCGACTTCAAAAATATGAGCGTAAACACTTTGATGCAAATTGTCTAAAAAGTACTAAATATTGTTGTTTGACCAGCTATATTGAATTTGTTATTTTTAATTTTACCATTTTGACTTTAGATTTGTGATCAGCGGCCCCGAAAAACTCCGTATACGAATTTTAACAAAATTTGATCAAAAAGCTTTCTCTTTGTTTAGTGGTTAGTGAGGAATACATGTAAATATATTGAAAAAGCAATTCAACGTTGAGAAATGTTTTTGAATAGGTAACAAAATATTAATCTCCATGCTGACTGAAAGCGACATTATTTTAATCAAATGTCTGATTTAATAAAATCTTCAAGTTTATATAAATATACGTAGACGTAAAAGTTTGATCCATTAACGTCCTATTAACGGGATATTTTTTTTATTGACTAAAATCGCTTGATTAATATATAATTTTATTTCTGTATCTTTAGAGAGAGAAAGAGAGAAAGTATCTCTAATTTTAAATTATATTTATGTTTTCAATTAAAACAGTGCCAATATTAATCATAAATAGACTGACACTTTAAATGTAAAAATGTTTAGGACATTTTATAGTCTTTAATAAAAAAATTAGTTACTGAGATATTTATAAGACAGAAGGTTGCAGAGACGCAATTTTATCAAGCTCAAAATGCAATAATGGACCTAATGCACATTTGACCCGACAAAATTCTGACGTTGCTGACTTAACGTAGGGTGTACACTGTCTATTAAAATGGAGAATTAACTGGAGGCAAGTTGATTATATAGAAAATTGAAAAACCGCAGCGGAAAAATGATTATCGCATTTATCCTAAACTACTCAACTAAAGTACGACGTGAACTCTAGGAAATACTCAGAGTGACGCATTTTTCATCGACTCAACGAGCTCTCCCCCTTTCTCTCTCTCTCTCTCTGTTTCTCTCCTTCTCTTCCCTTCTCTCGTTCTCTCTCTTGCAGCCGTGTGTCGTCTCCGTCCGACTTCTATTAATATGGAAATTTCCTTAATGGAAAAGTACGGGTATGGGACGAGAGAGGTGGAATGCGTCCGCACAGGAGAGTCTCGCGCTGTAAAAATCGCGCCGCGGGAAACAATAGTAGCGCCTGTGGAAAAATGATTCGCGACTAGCCTCTCGTAATGGAGGAACGTCTCCGTTTAAGCGACTCGGTGTAAAACGAACGATGAGCAGCAGGACCGCTCTCGACGGCCGGGATACAAAAAGAACGCGAGCCACAGCACGAGTGAGAATCGATACTTGTAAAATTCGAGCGTAACCGCCGGGCGGCGAGAGCGTGCCCGCTCGCGCACTCGGTGGCTTAAAACGACGATGGGGGCGCACCAACGAGTAATGAAAAAAGGAAATTTTAACGCTTCTCGAGTGAATTTCACCGACGATATCGTAGTTGCACGCGCGCATGCCCCTCGTTATATCCGCGGGAATGAAGCTCTGAAAAAAGTGATTAAAGAGATTTTAGATGGACACTTTAATCCCCGGGTGTTATAGGCGCGCGATAGCGTTGCAGTTTGTATCGGAATAGCGAAACGACAGATCGCTATTCCGTGTGAGCTTCTCAATATGTAGATGTGCATTAAGTACAAAATAATGTCTCACAGCGCGACATTGATAAATGTTTCGATAAATGAATAATTAACGAGCTGAGTGCCAAACAAAATGCACAAGAGATGGAAATGTATCATCAATCCCGCTATATTCGTTACATTTAATAAATAGATGCGCGCATGTGACAGAAATGGGTGTAATGAATAACCCTCTGCTTTTGGATCAATAGTCTGGAAAGTTCACGTAAAAACGTTCAAGCGTTTATCGCGATCTCGCGTAAAATACCTTTATGAATTTGCCGTTTGCTTACCCGATAACCGCGATTTATTATATAAATTTATAGGTGAAATATCGCGCGTCGAAAATGTCGAGGTATTATTGCCTTTCGTCTTGGAAAGCGCGCGTTAATGCACAAGCGCGCTTCCCGCACAAGGTACGATGACGATGAATTTTATTATATCCCATAGGTCACGTCGCTCATAAACGACCTATTTACGTTCCGGGCAAACTTCCCGCTTTAGAAGATCCTAAATGCGTGAAATATATCCGTACCGTCAAATGTACCGTGAGCGCGCGACATACGCCCAGCACATTACCTGAATAACAACGATCGGTCAATAGTGCGTAATTGCGCGCAGCATATTAAATATGTTCAATCGAAATATCGCGCAATTTCGTTAATTGGTTGGAATACACGTGTTTGTGAACAACGGAAGAAATTACGACCTTATGCACACGTTTGCACCTCAGCGAAATCGAGAGAGGATAATTTGTTCGGCGTTTTTGAAATACATGTCCCCTCAAGCGCTCGAAAAGCACTTTGCACAAATTCCTAGATAGGTATATAGGTTTATTTACTTAGAAACTTGATCTAATTTAACCGTCAGAGATCCTCCGGTGTACCCAAAAAGGATGGTAATGTCCAATTTAAATGGATCCGCCGGTCGTGTTTACTCAGACACCACGATGAAGCAGAAAATCATAAAAATTGGATTTGAATTCATCCGTTACCTTTGCATTTCGCATATGAGCAGGTTGTTTTAAAGTTTGGCTACGTAATATCTAAATGAGCGAGCGAGGGAGAAAGAGAGATAGATAGAGAGAAATAGATAGATAGATAGATAGATAGATAGATAGAGAGAGCGAGAGAGCGAGAGAGAGAGAGAGAGAGAGAGAGAGAGAGAGAGAGAGAG